TTTCCATCCCCTTTTACCGCAATTGACCTTCCCCCCGCCCCCCCCCCCCCCCCCCCCCCACACACACACACACACCACCCCACCCTATGATGTCAACTAGTTCTGGGCAAGATGAGACAAAACATATAACGACGGATAAAAGATAAAAAAGGAAATAAAGAGGGTCATTTATGTGTAAGAAATACAAACCAGGTAACGATCATCTGAGCTATTGGAATCACATTGTAACATGTCAAAAACATTTTCCTGAAATAAAATCTTACTATATCTTTTGAAATCGACTTGTTTTCTCAACAAGCAAAATATAACTTTTGACCAGGTTGATATTTTCTGTTTAATCGTTGTTGTAATCATAAGATACTTTGTATAAGATGTGGGCATCAAACGCCAAATTTACTCATGACATTTAATTATGCACAGTCATCAGTAAAAGAGAAAATGGCAAAAAATAGAAAATCGCAGCAAAGACGTTCTTGAAAGTGCCTTTGCTTTAAGTTTGTCGGACAAGTGTCTAAAAGATAAGCAGGTTTGATAACAGGTAGACCAGCTTCTGTCAGCGTTAGCTGACTACTTATAAAACATTCTGAATTTTGGCCTTGAGTAGAATATAAAAAAGCTTTTAATCTGATTACATTCAGCGAGAGTCCCGACGGAGTTGGGCCGATCTACGTAGAACGATACTTTTATTAGGAATGCGCCCTGATATTATAACGTGTGAGGAGATGCAGCCGACTGTTTCCTTATTGCACTTTCATATTAGGGATATCAATACCAACAGAGCTCTTGAAATACGCACGTCCATTATTTACCATGTTATTAAACGATGGTACCAATAGCCAATAGCTTACGAAAACAAAGGTTGTCGGTTTTGTTAGCAAGGTGACAATGAAAGTGGTAAGTTGCGACAACTTGCAAGCTATGTTTAAGTACAGAAAGCTTAAAGGAAAGGTCGGTTAATGAAAGCTGCACGCACCAATAAGCGGAACAGCCACTACGTGTAATGTATCATCGGAAACTCCATGCGCAGAGAGAATACCCAGGAATGCATTTCTAACAAAAAACAATTAACGAATGCAGAATCCACAATTAAGAACGAGCCGAAATCCGTTTGCTCAAAAACAGCATCATGGGCTTCTATTGTCAATGGTCACAAGTTTGAAAAAATGTCAGTTAATGTCAAGTTACGCTGGCACGTGTATTTGTATGTATGTATGTTCGTGTGTATGTAAATAAAGTTGTCTGTAAGTTAATCTTTTCACGCCTATGCGTATGTGTATGTGGACTTTAGTCTATTGGCTTATTTCTTTCTCCACCTCGTTGACGATCTTTTTGTCTGAACGTTTATCTTGCAAGTCGTTAAATTCAATAAAATCAAAATTAACATCACATACTTGATGAGCAGATGAAAATATAGGCCTCCACCATTCACTGTGATTCAATAGCACATTATTACATTAATTTATTTATACATCTGCCCGTTTGCGTTATCATTTCACTCCCATTGAATGCAAGCCATCAGGATCCACATAATTGACCTATAGTGAGTTACGTAAAGTATCATTGGGTAAATGCATGTCTAATTTATGTACCCGTTGACACATTCTTTGGCAGTTGGCCTCACGAGATCAGCATAATATATCTATGACCACGATAATGATCGTCTTTTAAGGACCCGTACGCTGATGATCGATACTCCACAGTAGTAGATATTTTCAAACTGATGACAGAACAATGATAAGCAACAGAAATTATATTAAACCCACGTCACGGACGCAGGCTGTAAATGATTTTAACACCGTGTCGGGGTCAAGGAATGAAATGCCGATACTTTCAAGTAACTCGGAATGAAAAAGATGCCACAGTTGAAAGGTTTTCTGAAAGCAGACATATTACTCGGAATCAAATATTTCAGATTGCTCCTAAAATCAATACTCTCCAATTTATTGTTTCATGAAAGATATTAAATACTGTTATTGCCTATATGCACAAATATAAATAAAATCAACGCATCGGCCAAAAAAACAAACCTTAAATGTAGTGTCACATATACTACCAAGAATACAGATACCATACGCGGTATTTTAAGAATACAGGACCTATTTATTTGCATTAAACGAGAATTAATTTAATTTATATTCATCATTGTAGCACTTTGATATGAGGATTCTGTCTGCAATTGCGACAATTTCCTCACCATCTTAATCGCGTGCGACACGTCAGCTTGGATACATTATGTTTATTTCAGAATGCCAAAGACCAAAAGAAAACATTTAAACCGTTTCAGAAACGGTAGTCAGAAAGTTTTCATTTTATGATAGATCCAGATATTTGATTTACTAGTTGTGACCAAGTCTGTCAGAGTGAACAGACGAAACAGTCAACAGGTAAATCAAATATCTGGATCTATCATAAAATGAAAACTTTCCGACTATCAAAACTGAGATCCCATGAAACTAATTTCATATTTCAGAAACGATTCAACTGGTTCTACAAAACCAATAGTTTATGTATTACAATAGCATCACAAAAGCTGGAGTTGTGAAGCTAATGTGTGGTTTTAAGTAACAGATACAGTAGGAAAAACGAGCATGGCACAAATATATCCAACGGAATGCCCCTCTTCAGATATGTTTTTTCTGCAGTTGTTCTAGACCAAGCTCATTGATTCAGACTATGACTCATTTTAAGTTCGTTCCGGATTCTGGTTCTCTCAGAGTCATGTGATTCTAGGTTTATATTATATACATTTCGAGACCATTGTCATTTATCACACCTAAGCACCGTATCTTATAAAGCAATAGGTGTTTCGTGCAGAGCGTTTAATTAAAGAAATGCTGTTTAAGGTGCTCTCTTTGAGACTGGATGGACGATCACTGGAGACAATGAGCCCGTGCTATCCCATCACACCCACGTATTACGCAGGCACTCCTATCAGATGGCACAAGTGTTATTTCTAATCATTATCTGTCCTTAGATTACGTGAGTCTGCATTACACACCTAGTGGTCTACTGATAATGGGAGGACAAGATAAGCGGAATATTCTTTAACTACTAATCTTTTGCCCTGAACAAAATCACGAACACGACCGGCAACCATGATTATCTGTCCTGAAACGGTGGACGCTTTTGGTTTCTGTCCCGAGTTTGATCTCAGGTTGCTTTGACCCCAATTGCACTGCAGACGCTACAGTAAAAAAATCCATTGACAGTCAAAAGTCATCTAAGCTGTTTAATAATTCATTGCCGTTTTCCCTATAATTCCCAGTGTTTACTCTGCCGCGTGGAGCCCCGAGGATTGGCGAAGCTTTGCTCCCGAACGCCGCCACAGAATATACAGGCACAACCAATAGGTCTGTAAATTACATTTTTAAAAATCAATAGCTTCCTCATTTGTATGCCAGACCACATTAGTTGGAGTTCAGCAGTGAATGGGAACACACAGAAATATGGCATATCGATGCTAGCGAGTGCCCGCACATGGACTGTTCTGTGAATACCCAAAACGACGCTTAACATATAGGGAAGTGAAACAGTGGACCCTGTGCTTCCGCGACGAGAGCTCCACCCGTGTTAGAGACTCCAAGTTAAAACCAGCCAAGCGTATATTCCAGGAACAAACAGATTCATCTGCATCAAGCTCTGTGCGACAATTGATCGTAAGATCATAAACATTACCAAATATGTCAAAATGGCGGACAGTTACTTGAGAGCAACCGTTTTTATTTCGTGATCATGGTGTTGGGTATTTTTTCTGATGACACTGAATTCATTCTGGTTTGGAAGGTAAGTGTAAGGCAAGAATTCTGACACGCTTTCCTCGTGTTCTGCTTGTTCTTGATCAAATATCGATTCGCTGCTTATGTCGCAGAACGTGTATATACACGATTGATATCAAGTCTCACAAACCTCTGTTTTGTATTGCATGTCCATTTCTGACAACACTACCGATATCCTTTCATTTGAGACAGCCAGGGGGAAGGGGCAATTCTTCTTATTGATGAGTTATGAAGTGTTGGCGTAAATTCAGATCTATGTATAATATGCGTAATGATATTCTGAACAGTAGCGTGACGTAATTCTCAGGGGAGATGGTGCTTAAAAGAAGTCAGCCCTCCAAATAATTCAGGAATTCAATGAATGACAATGTTTGCAGATTGAGCAACGTAATACCATTTGTCGAGAAACCTCTGTAAGATCTGGTTAGTTATCATTATGTAGCTTTATGATAATTCTCTCCGACAAGGCGTGGCGTTGCAGTAACTGAAATGCTTATCGACGGCGTGCTTTACAAGTGTTATGTATCAAATGGCGATGGAAATGGAATGAATCTGACACTATTTTATACTTGTTATCACCTTTGTTCTAAACAATACCCAGCAAACCTTGAATTAACCCACCAATATAGTGACATGACGTCGTGGTCGGTCGACCATTCTGGTTCGCGACTCTCGAATGCAAGTTGCCATAGCTACCCAGTAATGAATGCGATATTCATTTCGCATTGGCAATCGACGTTGTTGGTAACGAGTGGGCTTAGACCTAGAGAATGCTTCCCGATAAAGATATATTAAATTTAATCAAACGGCCTTAAGTCATCATCTTCGTCATATTGGATAGATTCTTCCTGCTCGTCGGAGACTGGTGCAGTAATGGTGACAGTAGTCAGGCTTATGGATGGATGCGTCTTCCGACCCTTAACACTATATAGGCTATAAGTGTACGTGTGTGAAACATTTAACATGTGAAAGTCTTCTCGGGTTATATTGCGTCAATGCTTCTGTATTGCATGCATGCTGAAGGAGATTTTATAACAAGGAACCTGTCGGTTAGGCAGTTAATGAAATTGGCACTTGCTGTAAAACGCATTTCGCCGTGAAGAAGGGGGAAAGGGAATTAACTGAAAACGATTTAATAACATAATTCTTCCTTGTGTATTTTGTTATTTTTCTCGTTGTAATTTTTTATTTACTTTTTTGGGTGCATTCATAGTGTTGTTAAACAATTAAATGTCAATTTCATTCTGTAAAAACGTTACCTTACTTTTAAAATATTGATAATGGAGCAAAGCACAGTTGTTTGACAAATTGTCAAGAAAATGTTGTTTCGGGTATCAGTTGCATTCTAACAAGATTACAGTGCGAGCATTCGAAGTGAGAACTTTTATCATGGACAACATTTGAAATATGCTGTTCAAATATATAGAATTATCGATACCCAAAGGACGCAAGTACCATTTCAAACTTAATCTTCAAATTTCCCTTGCTATGCATCTTTGTGATTCTCAGGCAGCGTTAACATAGAAAAATTTTAATTACGTTTAAATAACTCCAAAAGGTTGAGGTGGAAAGCAGCATAAAATGACATTACATGCGATCACATTACATACATTACTTTTATACAGCTTGCAAATTTTAAAGCAATTCACGCCTGACTTAACATTTTATGGGCGGCGAGCACCGCCGAGTCCGATTTTTACATCATAAGTACATGTTCCATTTTTTAAGCACAATGTACGATTTTTGAAAATCATGAACGATCTAAATGCTGACTAAATACTGCATTTTTTAGATTCAATTCAAGCATGCTCTCAATGAGAGTAATGTGAATTTGTCTGTACGTTACTGACATTCCGTTCAAGGAGGATCTTAATGAAATTAATATGAACTCTCCTTGTGTTTTTGAGATTCAATACAAGGACGGCATTAAGGAAAGAAATGTGAGCGCCAACTCCCCCTTAAGTTTTTGATTTTCTCACCCAAAGTGATTAACTTGAGAGTAATGTGAACCCCCCTTTCATTTTTGGGACTCAGTACAATGGTGATCTCAATGAAAGAAGTGTCAACTGCCCATTACTTATTTCGCTTCCATCATTCCCCGGACTCAAACGCCCCCGCGTTGTATTTAATATCCACGAAGTTGATGTTAAAGCGTCAGAGCCTGTCGTGTGATGTGTATTGATTTTCAGGAAGCGTAGTGTTGGTTTCGGTGGACAATATCATATGTTGCGTGAAATTCGTGACAGCCATCTACACATTATCACCCACTGCCTCTCAAGTACCTCCTGCATAGTCAATGCAAGCCTTTGAAGAAATGCCTTGTTTTTCCTTTTTATACTGTAGATGTGGTGTGATATACAATGTAGTTTCACAAGCACCAAATAATTTGGGGACAGTCTTACAGTGTTGGTTTTCAAATGTAGCGTGTCACCGATGGTTTTGGACGGTAGCAGTTATGATGTAGTCTGTATTTCATGCAAATGTGTTTCTGGCTGTGCATAATGTTTTTATGGTGCGTGTAGGGCGTTTGTTTCTAATATGTCTGGTTTAAGATTATTTGCACTTACATTATCTTAAATTCAGGATACGTCATTCTAACCAAGGTTTTTCTTCTTTTAAACTAGGTCTTTTTGACAAATATTAATACACACAAGAGACAAAAAGGCGAGCTATGTCAACCATATATTCATTTGAAAGAAGTTTTGAGACATTTCTTTAGCGACAATCATTACAACGCCTTTTATTTCTTTTTCTCTCCGACGTTTGCATGGTTTATAAATAAGAATAGATAGGTTTATACATGTTAAAAAATAAAAGTAATTAGTCTTTTCTTCATCCCTCGTTCATATCACTGCCCATTATTCATGGCCATTAAGCCAAAACTCGATTAATATGGGTGACTGGGACAGAGCAGAGCGTTTATAACATTTTGTAGCAATTATGTCATTAGTGAAAAACTTGCCCAAAATAATTATGAGATAAACATACAAACAACAGATGAAACCCGCTAATACGTGCGTCTTTTCACAGATAAATCATTCTCAGATGATCCCTACATTACCAAAATTACATTATCCAGAACTGACAGCAGATGTCCGCCTGTTCCAATGTGAGGTAATAATATCAGCCCCCCCCCCCCCATCCCACCCTTGTTGCCACAAATGGCTCCATTACTGGGTCTAATTAAGTCCAATCACGTGACAGGTGCATTTGTTATGGGGTTCATATATAAAATGTCGCTGTTCAGTACAAATGCGAGGTTGGATGTAGATTATCGACCGTAATGTAAGACTTGGTCATTTTGGACATTTTAGTAACCAGTCCTATGATTCATAGCTCAATCAATTTACCCACCCTATCAATTACCAAACGAGCTTGTAACCGTAAATCTACTGTACTTTCTTAGTGTTTGATTGGAAAACATGGCCTTTTTAATGAAAATGTTTCATTCGCGTAGGATCAAATGCAATATTTTGTCTATAATAGAGAGTGAATAGTATTCAAAAGTGCAAAAGGAGAAAAGTGGAATTGATTCTATTCTAAAAAGGATAGTACCTGCTTTTATGTTTTTAATCTTCACAATTTTTCTTGATAGCCTGAGTTTATGTATCAAAAGTATGTTCCACCTTTTTTCAGATAAAAATAATAATACATCTCAACAAAACCTGCAATAGGGCTAGACACGATGAGCAAATGCAGGTAACCGTTCAATTTGCTTTAGCTTAGTGAACGTGCAGGATATGTATCTTTAGTATATTTTAGTTGAAAACTTGATAGAGGGATGATCGATACATGAGAGAAACTGACGATGTCGAAAGAAAACTGGTTAATTATATATTTTAAACGACAAAATCCTGAGACCTGTCTTTTTTAGAAAAGCGATAACCTTTACAACATCCCTTTTAGATAAAACACAGCATGAAGTTTCAGCCTTAAATGGCTTTTTAAAACTTGGTCACCCAATTTTTTTCCCGGTTGTAAAAAGGAATGGCTATATTGTATTTAAACGTGCGCACCTGGCTTACAGCTGTGCCAATGCCGCCTAAGGTTAGGTAAGTGATAATACATGTAACCATGGTTGTGTATTGGTTGTATAAAATATGTTGATATGTGCGGCCATTGCAAGCCCATATGATCCACAGTCATCAGATTCAGCTGCGAGTTCTACAGCTTGCTCTTCGTTGTCCAATAAATCAATTGTAATGCTATTTAACGTCACTTGAGCACTTGGCGCTTTTGGCTGGCTGCGGCAAACATCGATTCAGCAAAGCGGCTTACATAAAAACCAGATTCTTTTGCCCAATGGGGGTCTCTAAAAGTTTTATCCGTCCTACATATAAATCCAGGTTCACCCCTATCCTCTTAATAAAACATCTCCACGTTCAGGGCAAACAATTTGAGGCATCATGGTAAATAAAGATACCAAACACATCATGGCAACTGAATACAAACAAGAAGGAAGCCCCGACTTGAATATTTTGACACTTTCATTTAGATTTGTATCGTAGTGCCATTGTACAGATATAACCTTAGAAATTGGTCATTACCCTTAAAACGGCTTAGAGGTAAATATATTTAAATCAAATTGGCGTTTATGAACAGCATTGCAGTTTTTCTGTATTGAACAACTCTGTTTTTTCTGACAAAGCATTTTTTCCTTCAGATATACGTCATGGCTGGCAGCTGTAATTGGAATGTATTCTTAATTTTGAGTTCCATAATGAAGATAAATCACGCTTTCAAACATCATTGCTATTCACGAGACGCTGCTATCGGTGGCCCCAATTTCTCTTTCATTTTTTTCAACTGGCGGTTAGCAACAGAAAATATTGATCAGACACGGTATTTTCAGTATTTCTGAGTAAACCCTTATGGGGACTCGCGGAAAATGTATATGATATTCACAATTTACAGGAATCTTTTCATGTGAGATAAATTAAATTGTTATTCTATTATTGGTGAATTGTTTGTTAAACGAAGACACGTTTATAAATTCCTCCTCTCTTT